CCTGCCGCACCCTCTTCCTGGGGGGCCGAGGACCATGGAGTCTGAGGGGTGGGGTCCCGGCCAGGTGGGGTCAGGCAAGGGGCCACTTCAGGTGCATCAGGCCCCCGGCTTAACAGAGCTGGGTGTGGGCAGATGGAGCTGTACCCCGCCATGACGATGAAGAAGTCCAGCCTGTTCCACGTGTCGCCCAGGTAGCACTTCTGCCCGAACAGCCCCAGGGCGACCATCTTGATGACCATCTCCACCGCGAAGAAGGCGAAGATGAAGTCGTCGAAGGCCTGGTGGGAGGAGGGTCTGAGAGCGGGACCTGCGCTCTCCACACCCAGGGACGGGGTGTCCCTAAGGGTCATTCATGGCAAGTGGGTCAGCCCAGCCCCCGCCTGCCCAGGCCCCCACCTCCAGGATGCTGCAGCGCTCCGAGCGGCACTTGACGTCCTCGCAAGGCCGGAACATGCCCAGGGTGACGCAGTTGAGCATGATGACCAGCATGCTGACGTGCTCGAACCACGTGGGGGCAGGCAACTGGGTTAAGGGTCAATGAAGGAGGCTGGTAGATAGCCACGGGGAAGCAGGGGGGTGGAGCTAGACCCCAGGACCTGCCCCAACCCCCCACCACTGCCAGGGTGCCAAGCCCTCCACACCCCTGCACCCGCCCCATCATCTGTGTGTTAAGGGACAGAGCCCTGGCACCAGTCTCAAATACTGCTGTCAACCCCCATGCACAGAGGAGAAACTGAGGCACAGACTAGGGCTCTGGATGGAAGCTGCCTCTCCACCAGGTTTCTCCCAACTAAACAGGTCACACACACAGGTGAGCATCTCACAGGCGCTGCCTGGCCTGGACTCCAGCAGGTGCTGCAGGTGCCCTCAGATTGAGGGGGGCCTCAGAGCCCCCTCTCCATGGCCCTGCACCCCCCCCCTCATGTGACTCCAGCAGATGGAGGAGGAGGAGGGGAGCTTTGGGTCAGTGCAGTGACTGGGCCCAGAGGATCTGCAGCCCTACTGCGTGCTTGGATAAAGGGTGATGGGACGTGGGTGAAGGCCAGAGGAGAACACCCCCTATATCCTCCTGACCCCCACCAG